TGGAAACTGTCATGGTTAATTCCTGATGAATTCATCATGATGGGCTAACTGGCCTGTTTTCATTCTCATCTATCACCCTTCACTGGTGCACCGCCAGCGTATCCCGTTAGCGCAGGCAGGGTTACCATAGCATTTTCACCCATACAAAAAAAACAGGTGCAGATGAAGTGAAATCCGTTGGTTCATTGTGATGACTTCACCAAGAATAAAGTGTGGTTTAACTCTTCTTTGCATAATGGTGGAAATTTTCATCATAACATTGAATGCCTAAAAATTATATAAAAGAACAAGTTGACTATAAGTTGATCGTGTCTGGTTACCTTTTTAATGTCCATTACAGAAAAAAAAAACATAGCTGTCAAACTTATTTTTTTAACCATTTTTCCTTTAATTTTGAACATGAAACCTTGATTTATTTCATCAATAAAAAAAAGTATGTAAAGGTTAAGTGATCAGACACGAGTGTCTATTTATGTGGTTATATTACTAGAAATCGATCTACTAAATTCCATTACTATCAATTCTGTCCTTTTTTATTGGAGATGTTTGAATAATAAGATTAATAGGTCCTCATTAAGTTCAACATTATATGATACCACTGGACATATAACGTAGTGTCATCTAGTTTTAAACTAAACAGAGCTTCGTTATAAGATCTTCTTGAGGTTAGTGACAGCGTTATTAGTGTGGCAAGATCTTGGAATAATAACATTCGACTTTTTTTTTCGTTTATGCAACTTGAAAAGGCAAACAAGCTGAGCGCACATTTGATGGGAAGTGGTAATCGTCGCCTATAGACATGAACAGTACCATGAACATAGTATACAACATAGTATACAGTTTCACTCATGATACCCCCATGTGTATATTCTTGAGGACTAAGGTGTTATTTCTCTGTACCCTGTAAATTCACTGCTATATCCCACCCTTCAAACCAAAACACAGCCATGCAAACACAACTGCTTCACGGTAGAAACACGAATGGGACAGCGGTGCTCAAGCAAACGACCTTTGTACAAAGTCTCCCTCTGGTAAATATATAGGGAATTTTAGGGAAGGTTGTTATGAAAATTTATCTTTTCATCACGGAAATCTCTTACAGATGTCTCTTATTGATGACCAATGTGTTTTATTCAAGTCAATTATAACATGATATTATACAAATATTAACTAAAAACTGGTTCTTAAACAGTTCAGTATTAATTATTTTTATTAACTTTTTCTGAATGAATCGAGAGTATTTTTCCACTAAGACTGAGTTTATAGAATCACGAATTTTAAAACAAAAGGAGGGAGACTTTGTACAAAAGTCGATTGCTTGAGTACCTCTGTCCCATTCGTGTTTCTACCGTGAAGCAGTTGTGTTTGCATGACTGTGCTTCGGTTTGAAGGGTGGGATATGGCGTGAATTTACAGCTTACAGAGGAATAATACCTGAGTCCTCAGGAATGGCAACACATGGGGGGTATCATGGGTGAAACAGTATACTCTGTTATGCTCATGGTACTGCTCATGTCTACAGGCGACGGTTACCACTTTCCATCAGGTGGGCCGTCAGCTTGTTTGCCATTGTAAGTTGTATGAAACAAACAAAACAAAAAGTATTTGCGCACACCATAATGCATTTTTAACAACCTCAGCTTAATTCTGAATAAGTAGATACATAAAACACCAGGTAACATTTTGACCGAAAAGAATTAAATTAAAATCAATAAACCCCACTGAGTCGGCCAAAGGACCGTAACTCTCAGTGTTTGCTGACTTTCGTTGTGCGAAATGGGTTATGAAGGGTATTCGATTGAATTCTTTTTATATTTCATAGCGGTCGCTGCCGTCCCTGCTTTTTGTTGGATTTTCATAGTCGCTAAATTTTTCATGCTTGCTAATGAGGTGGGTATTTTGGTTTTATGTTATGATTTATAAGGTTTTTATGGAACTACTTATCGTTTTTCTCGAAGCAAAATGCAGTTAAATAAAATATGTAAAGAAATATAGATACAGATAAATAAAATTATAAGAAACAAGATTAGGAAGTTCAGAAAAAAATATCAAGTAATAAATGTAAATAATTGATAATTTTTCCTATATATCAAGTAATAAATGTAAATAATTGATAATTTTTCCTATTTATCAAGTAATAAATGTAAATAATTGATAATTTTTCCTATTTATCAAGTATTTATTAAGTAATAAATGTAAATAATTGATAATTTTTCCTATTTATCAAGTATTTATCAAGTAATAAATGTAAATAATTGATATTTTTTCCTATTTATCAAGTAATAAATGTAAATAATTACGCACAACCGCTCAAATAAGAGGCTAAGCGCGGAAAAGAGAGTCCAATTTACATTACATTACATTTACATTACAATGTATATAATTAACCATGATTTAATAACATTAAGTTTAAGATATAAATCTTAAATTAGTCATTAACAATTTATTATTAATTTTAGGTGGAATATAATTAACAGGGCTTTATTAAAGAATTTTTGCTTCTTTATTTAAATATAAAAAAAAATTGCAGTCCATCTCCTCCTGCTATTTAATGCGTCTTTGAAACTTTAAACATAATATTGGATAACTTAAGTCCCAGAAAATTTAATTTAAGATTTGCCACGGCCATATTTTAAAGTAAGCCTCGATTTCTCCGCGTTACGGCGCAATTAAGAACCTGCTCCCAAACGAAGGGCTTTATTAAATTGGACAGAGTTATCACCCTCGCATTAGTTTCACTTAGAAAGAGTTTTTATTAAATAACAGATTTTCTAAAATAATCGGTTTGTACTAGGAAGTGGCTTTAGTACAAAGCCACTTCTTAGTTCCAACTACTTTTACCAGAGGAAGACTTTGTTCAAAAATCGATTGCTTGGGTACCTCTGTCCCATTCGTGTTTCGAATGTGAAGCAGCTGTGTTTGCATGGTTGTGTTTCGGTTTGAAGCGTGGGATATGGCGTGAATTTACTGGGTACAGAGGAATAACACCTGAGCCCTCAGGAATGGCCACGCATGAGGGTATCATGGCGAAACAGTATACTCTGTTATGTCCATGGTACTGCTTATGTCTATAAGCGACGGTTACCACTTTCCATCAGGTGGGCCGTCAACTTGTTTGCCATTCTAAGTTGTATATAAAAAAAAAGTTGCTTTTTGGTACAGACAAATAGTTCAGAATTAGTAACTTGGGAATTATCCAGTTTTGTGAAGTAACAAATTAAAGTAATAATAGAAGATTGTCTAATGTTTACATTATTACATTATATTATGTATTTTACCAGAGTTACTTTTGTCCTAATTGTGATTCTGTCGTGAAGCAGTTGTATTTGCATAGCTGTGTTTCGGTTTGAAGGGTGCGATATAGAAGTGAAATTACAAGGCACAGAGGCATAATACCTTAATCCTCAGGAGTGATAACGTATGAAGGGTATCGTGGGCTGTCATCTAGTGAACTCTGTTATGTCTATGTCTATTCGTATTTATAGATGACGGTTAACACTTTTTATCCGGTGGGCCGTCAGTTTGTTTGCCATTTTAGGTTCCATAAAACTAATTACAAATGATAGTCTGCAGTTATAAATTACAGAGGCTAGACTTCATTAATCCTAGTAATTCAAGAGGTCTTGAAAACATTTTAAATACATTGAGCACTGTAATCAGTATAATAGATGCTTTATCTCTGTTGAATGTTTAAAATTAATTTATATTTCAAATAATATAAGAGTTACTTAATTACTTATTATATATCTAAATTAACTATCTCTTCTATTTAGATATTTATGGTTACTAAAATATAGCATTATGATGTGCATATTTAACCATACTACAATATATAGTCATATGCATATAAACAAATATATAAGAGTTCAATTATTTGATTTATATTTGTATTTATTTATTTAACTTCCATGTACATAACAAAGGTACACATGACTACTAGTATAGTATTGTATTATCTGCGACATGGTAGACATAACACCTAATGTGTTCTCTATTAGTCAACCACGGAGAAAGCAGAGATGGTTATATATATATATATATGGTATATATATATATATGGTATATATATATATATATATATATATATATATATATATATATATATATATAAATGAATAATTAACAAATAAATATATTTGAAAGTAATTTTACATAAATACTCGTAGATATATAATAATAATAATAATCTTTTTATTGAACTATAATAATATATAAATGTGTGCCAGGAGCCAGATAAAAAATAAATAATATCATATACAAAATTACAATTATATTCAAATAAATATTTAAAGTAGACGACGAAAAATATTATCAATAATAATAATAGAGAAAAGAGGAGAACATGTAAGAGAATTAGGTTTGGAGAGAGTTGAGATAATTTGTACGTAGCTGTTATTATGAATTATATTATTAATTTAAAACGATATTTATTGTAATAAACATAAAATACATTTACGTCTAAAGGAGTCACGCTATAGTTATGTGTGTTACAAACAGTAATTAACACCATAGTATATATATAGGTTAACTAGATCTTTATTGTTCCTAGTATGAAACACATTAGTCATTGCAAAGCTCTGTTATTCGCAACAATATCTCTTTAATTGCTACTCCTTCATGACATTTCGCTGTAAAGTGGATTATTGCTTCGTCAGTAACATTATCGGGGTAAGAGATTAAAATGACTTTATGGTTTCAACGAATAACCTCCCGCATTTACAAAATATCAACGGGATCCCAAAATTAGTTTATGTTACTTTTGTTTCTAAGAATAACGGATACCTAGTTGGTTTATATTTGATATTAATTAAGATTAATGTGACATTTGTGGGTTCGAATCCCAATTTTAGGAAGCGACTTTCCGCGAAGGTACAGTATGTATACAGTTAGTTTAATAACGGGGATATTGACGAAGCGACGACAGTGGCACCACGATCTGATTTTCATTATCTTTTTTCGTTCCTTTCTTGCGTCGCCGTGCGTTCATTTATCAAAATAAGGATGAGAAAAATCAAATCCTGACCACGAACGTCTGGCTCAATTTGGTAAGTGGTAGGAGCCGGGCCTGGCGCCTTCGCCGTCCCGCCCCCGAACTGTTTGGTTACTGGATACCACCCCCACCGGGACTTTGTGGCTAATAATCGTTACTTACTCTTAAATATCTTACACACCGCCAGCACTAGTCAACTTCAAACGCACCATATGTATAAATGTATCGCTTTGCCAACACATTACCGAGCACCATTTGAAGGTAACGGTTCCAGGTGGCGGGCGCGGCTAGAGGGCGCTGCCATCGCGGCAGAATTGTCGCATGGAGAGTCGGTGTTAAATTTGTTGTTCACGTTTCGCATAATATCTATATATTAGATTGTGTGTAGGGCGACACGCGAATGTCTTTATCGCATGAGGGAACAGTTCGCGCGCCGCCCGCAGCCCCAGTCTTGTGTGTCCGGAAGGTGTGGATCAGAGTTGTCTAGACTATTATACTGACTGCGCCCTTTCTTTCTGTTTTTGTTGACATCATCTAACCCAATAGGACGAGAAGAATCAACTACTTATAACCAATATATGGCTGTCATTGGTAAGTGTGATTAAACGACGAACCTAAATTAACACTTAATAAAACTTCTAATGTTTGGTTCCGTTTACTCTTTTTCTTTCTACCTTGGTTCGTATTCGATTCGTGACTGATTCCTTCTTTTATTTAACTCTGTTGTTGCGTTACTTCTATTTCTCTTTAACTGTTATTTTTGAAAATTGCATAGCATTGTGGAATATGCGGCAGTTTTGAGATCTCCGCTATGATTGTGAGAGAGTCATTTAGTGAATCTTCATGGACATCCTCATTGCTGATCTCCAGCTCATGCTGTAGACTAGTGAGTAGACTCTATCATCCATCTCATTACGACTATACACCACTGTACCTTTTTGCTGTTATACTAAGTTTTAGTCTTACTAGAACATTGATTTGATCGATGTCGGTACTTCTGGTAAGTACGTAAACCAATTAAATACTGATATATAATTAAATTTGTGTAATGGAGGAATACAAATTGAACATGAAATTGTGTTTGTGGATAACTGCCGTGTACGCCGCAATGCAATTAACAATATGTACTAATGGTTGACACTAATTGACACGATTTTTATTAAATATACCTACACGATATAACGATTTCGATATGCCAACTTATAGATGGCATGTTAACATAACAGTGAATAACAATGTATTGTATTTATGTGAAGGAGGGTTTCGTATTAGGTTCGTCAATTGAAAGTAACATATTGGATGGACATGTTTGTAAATTATTTGATATGATATGCACAAATATAGTTGAGGTGTTTAATGTCCACTGTAAATCGATTATGCACATCCTGGGTACCCGCTGTCATTTTATTTTGTTTGGCTACAGGAGAATTGTGGTTTTTTATACTATGCATGGCCATGGAATGTTCTATTGAGGGGAACTTACGAGAACGGGTTTGGGTATGTGCCTCGGGATATGCTCCACTTAGTTTGCCTGACATGAAACCTCATTGAGACGACCTATAAAAGCGTTATATTTATATAAACAGTGTTTTTAATTAAATCTTTTGTATGTTCTTTAGAAGATTGTTTTCTATGCTACTATTTTAGGCGATACTCTCGAATTTTTATAATGTAATGTTATATTAACTTTGTGTACATAATTGTACACATAACGTGTAAATATTTTATTTTAAATGAAAGTAATTTAAAATTATGTTCGGTTTTGTTTTGTTATGTTTTTATTAATAGTGAACATTGAGTTGATATTATTTTTTTTTTAAATAAAACAATAACATTAAATGATGATGCTTGATGCACATATCTTTCATGTTGGCTGTATATAAAAAAAGCATTGCATTTCACGAACGTGTGCATTAAGAATGATTGGATCGATATTTTCCCTTCCAGCACCAAAGGTATGTTTATTAAGCGATTTAAACGATAATTATTTTAGCATTTACCAATACGGCAGCTTAGTCTACGACATGGTAGTGTCCCCTTTATCCCTTGTTATGAAAGAAATATGCAAATCATTAATACCGGTTTTTGTATATTTGTAATCCCTGCAACGAGTATCATTTAATAGAATTTTAGTAATAATATTTAATTACATTATTTGTATATTGATTCAAATTGATATATTTAGGTGATTTCTAATAACTTCCACAGCATGTATCTCTTAATAATTCTTTGCATGTGTAGTTGCTTTTATACTATACTTGTCTTATTCAATCTAAGCTTTTTAATCCTTATCTACATTTTTCTATATTCAATCTAAAACATTTATGAATTCAACGATATTTTCAATTTATGTGTTATTATTATCTTCCTCTAGATATTATTTGTACTGTGTGAGTGTTGTTTCGTATTTAATGTAACTATTCTAATTTCAATATATTTTTATAATTTCTTTACTCAATTGTACAGTGAACTGCATTGAGTTTAAATTATTAACATCAATAGATAGAAATGATTTTTTGTTGGCAAATGGTTAAAGTAGAAGGTCATTCGATATCCGAGATTCGTAGTTCACTGTACACCATTGTTAAATATTTGGATTCGAGTCCTCTTCATAATATATTTATAATTAACGTATTATTAATTGAAGCTAATATCGTTCTCTCTGAAAGGCACCATTTAAACTTCAATACATAGTTTGTTCGACTATTCTCATAACTGGGATATCTTGTCGTAGAGACAAGCATCTCAAAGACATTTAGGACCCGAGAGCTCGGGTTTGTTAACATATCATCCCATACCGCCTCTTAATTGGTGCTCTGATTACCCTTTAAGAGAGAACATTAAATAGAATGAGACGGACGTGCGTCTGTCGCGTTCTAACGTCGTCACCGTGCTGGCTATTAAGTTTTGACAGTTCATACAAGGACCCCCACGTTATATACCAACAAATACAAGATATTACTAGTGAGTTGGAAAGTTTTGTAATATTACAGGGGTTCGAAGTTTACTGGGCGTAAGTTGGGCTTGTGTCAATGCTATCTAAGTAACGTCATTGGATACAACGGGGTGTAGGCGTAGTTGGAATGTTATTGTAGTCAGTATGGTGCCCGTTCGATTAGTTGGGAAACAATATTGCTTTTTTCGGGGTACAAACCTCATATATGAGACAACTTTCTGTTTATACTACGGAAAGTACATACATTTATTTTGTTGTTTATCTATTTTTAGTTCTAAATGAGCAATGATAGTTTGTTTCATTACATTTATAATTAACTGTTTTGTTTAATCTGTTTACGGTTGAAAAACAAAAAAAAAAGTATTTTATTTCGAAATAAATCAATTATAATTGTGTGTCTAATTTCTATTTTTATTATCAAGAACTTTCGAGTACATAATATACGTACATGTAGTATATACTACTAATGGGCTCTGTATTTATCGTATACTTACTTTTTTTTATACGAAAGAAGATATAAAAGAATATAAAATATTACTACAGATAAAAAATGAAATAAACGTCTGCCTATTTTCTGTAATCGTTAAGCCGATGGAAGCTGACTCAGACATTTTAAATGGAATAAAATTAATATTTAATTTCAATATTGTTCCCCAGTAAATCATAAATGAATTTTCACTTCATTTTGTCGGCCTGGTTATTCCCAACTACAAATTAATTAAAGTGGTGGTTTTAACAATGATTTGCAAACCTATTAATCATATTGCAGCGAGTCCATTATAAAATAGCATTAATAATATTTACACTAATGTTTATTAAAGTGGCTGTATCAAAGTTTTATTGTATCGTACAATTTTATTTATCAAATACGAAGTAATTTACGATGTTGGCAAATTGAAGTTAACCTTTACTGTATAAAGATGTTCCGTATTATTATTACTTATGAGTGTAGTAAACTCATTAATAATATAATTAACAAGTTCACTTAAAAATATTAAATATTTCTGTCAGGAGTTATTAATTTTTATTAAGAAATGAAAAATTAATATTAACAATAATTACATTTTGAAATAAGTAATGAAAATGAGAATATTAGCTGAAAGTTTTGCGTTGGGTTATATATGCTATCGTATGGATGAGACAGATGTGAATATATAAAACTATGATTAGATGAATTGCCTCATCTAAAACACACTAGTATTTAGTTTTCGTTGGCGCTTCTCTCACCACACTGCATGTACGAGTATGGTGCGGTATAGCGAGCACTATCCTTAATCGTACAAAACTTGAATCGTATAAAACTTCGTATCTTAATGTTATATAAGTTCTAACTTCTAACTTCTCGTTTTACTTTTGTACAATCTTGTTAGTTTCATTCTCCTATATAAATACTTATTCTTTAGTACTCTACATATGTAGCTCGTTCTTTCAATTGATTCTTTGATATCTTTGTTATTACTGTGTGGAATTGATCTCTATCTATTATAGGAATCACAATTATTGGTAGTTACGATTTTTTATTTATAGTTTATAAAATAATAATAAATGTTCAGTATACCTATTTTAAAGATTGCAGATTGTATCTAGTTTCGTTTATTTTGAGACAAAAATAATAAAAAAAAAAACATTTATTATAGTTTTTTTATTAAACTTAATGTTACAGTATGCTTAAATTTTCGACTAATTAGAAAAAAAATGTTTAAAATCAATATATTTAAGTACGACTATATAACTAGCGAGGGAAAAGTAACTTTTTATATACTGAGTGAATACTTTAAAATTTAAATCCAAAATTATGACAAGGAATTTACATTTTTAATGGACTAAATACAATATGAAAATTTCTAAATTACAACTTATGTCAGTAGTTGGGGACGGCCTTAGAATATCACAGTCACGCGCACATTGCTGTATACTTACATCGTTCTCTTTCACGTAAATGATTATGTCTATATGTGTGACAGGAATGGAATGACTACAACCTCAGATGGAATGACAGCGAGTATGGAGGTGTTAAGGACCTCCGGATCACGCCAAACAAACTATGGAAACCGGACGTGCTCATGTATAATAGGTGAGATGACTCCGCTTCAGGGCGATTGGGATAAGGTTTTGAATTAGAATAAAAAAAAAAAATAGTTTAATTCTAATATATTTTTTTTTTACAAAGAATAGGTAACGAGCTTTGGGGAGATGCAACATTTTTTGGTATAAGATTTTAATGAAAATGTTTTTTTCTAGGAATCTGTAAAATAATTAGAGTAGAAATATATGTTTTAAATTATTACATACCTATAAGTATATTAATTTATTTTTTAAGAACGAGATCTGTTCTCCTTGGGGAGTTTGGATATGCTTTGATCTGATGATATGAATATGGACTGTATGTAAAAAAAAAATCGACACAAAAATGCGATAACGATAAACTGTTACAAAAGTCACTTGTTAGATTCAAACAGTGGTTTCTTTTTTTTTTGATGGGTGAAAATAGAATGGTAATCCCGCCTGCGCTAACAGGATACGCTGGCAGAGCACCAGTGAAGGGTGATTGATGAGAATGAAAATAGGCCAGTTAGTCCATCATAATAAATTTATTAGGAATTAACCATGATAGTTTTCGGAGGAACCGCGAGGAGGTCAACCTGGTTGGGTATATTGCTAGCAATGGGATTCTTAGTCTCCATTACTCACAATCCCTTTCCCCCCTCAAACAGTGGTTAGAATACTCATCCTTTTATTTGAGTAAATTTCTCTGACTTATAATCAGATCGCTCAGTTCCCTAAAGCATGCTAAAGTTACCAGATCTTACCTAATTCTTCTATAGATGTTTGAAACTTGAAGTACCCTTTTAGCGACAAATTAACTGACTATTTACGTAATTTATATCAATAATAACAACGATATTAAGTTTCTGATAGTTTCAAGACTGAGAAATTAAATTCATCATCCTTTAATTAATTAAAAATAACAGAGATAAATTTTTATACTTCTTTCTGAGAGAATGGGCAACAACAACGCTTCTTTTTCTTTCTACCTCCAAAATCAAATCATTTCTCAATATATCATTTTTGTTAGACAATAAAATATTTTTATTGTATATCAAAAATGTTGTCATACAATTAAAGTGAACATCAATAATAAATGAAATGGTTCAACTTGGCGGTGATTGGAATATATCTCGATTTATACTCGTAGCTGTAAATTTCTTATATCCCAATCTTCATTATCTGTCACAAAGGTAAAATTAATTTGTTTCTTTTTCCTGCCATCGGCGATACTTTTAGATTTCCTTCTCATCTATACGTTTTTATTATTCTATACCTTTATTTTCTTTTTGTAATAAATGTTGGCTTCGGATTAGGTATTACATTATAAACACAATATAAACGATTAACTTAACAACTTTTCTCTCATGGACGTCGTAATACTAAAATTTACTGTATTACTAATTTATTGTACTTATCCTGTCACTTTTTTTTCTAATTTTAAGTATTTTTATTGCCATTATTTACTTTAAACCATCTTGAATTCAATTGCATATGTAATAAAGGTATATTTTACCCGTATTAATTTTGAATGAAGTCAAAACAAACAACAGTAATATTTCGAAAATTGAATATTATAATATTATGATCGATTTAATACAATAGGTCAATATAGTATAAAATTACCTATACTTGGGAATGTTGAAGGGTTTTTTCGTAACACTGTTAGCAATATTTAATAGCTCATTGTAATACGTCCATCAAGTAAAAATTATAAAATAGTTAAATTTCAAACAAGCTGATTAGTTAAAAGTTATTATTACAATTTTTTTAGTTTATCTTTTCTCATGTGAGCGACATCCCTGTCGCCAAAAAAAGCAATGCGTAATTATGAATTTTATTGATATGGCCATTCGCGGAACTGCCGAAACAATATTCCTGCAGGCCATTCAACAGTTTCGTTTAATATCTTGTCTCTCGAAATGTAATTACATTCGAAATTGCGTGTTATTGCTGCAAAGCGTCAGATTGTTCGGCATTTACATTTTAGCAATTTGCGTCAATACCTACTCGTTTGTGAGTTTACTATACTGGATTTGTTTCACTGTATTCCTGTTTTATTATATTTGAACTAGTTGTTTCTTGTAGCTTCTCATTATATTCATTTATTTTTTATTAACCATATTTAAGAAAAAAAGTGTTTAGCGTTAAAGACAGGATTAACAAATTATCCAATCGAAGTGTGGCAATGGCGGAATCATCTATTTTCATAAACAATTGAACGGTTTTTTATATTTTTATTTGATTATTTAAAAATGTCACTAATAGCGAAGTGAATAATGGTAATCATAGAACAAGTACCTCTGTCCTATTCGTGTTTCAACCGTGAAGCAGCTGTGTTTGCATGGCTGTGTTCCGGTTTGAAGGGTGGGATATGGCGTGAATTTACTGGGTACAGAGCAATAACACCTGAGTCCTCAGGAATGGCAACGCATGGAGGGTACCACTTTCCATCAGTTGGGCCGTCAGCTTGTTTGTCATTCTAAGTTGTATAAAAAAAAAGTGACATACGTAAATCTGTAACAAAAAATTTAACACATCTGTACCTGTATGTATTATGAAAAGGATCATCAAAATCAACATCGACATTTGTAGTAATATTAAAAAAAAAAAACTTTCACCCATAGAAAACTATATTATTAATAAACAGTATAGACTATATATTAGTATTGAAAATTCTATTTACTTAGACCAAATCTGGCCTGATTGCTAATACTCCATATTTTTCTCCTTAACTTTTTAAATAGTTTCCTACCATTCAGTGATAAATTCATAAAAATCTTATTGTATTATTAACATTTTAATTTGCTATCAAAGTACTTTTTATATAATTAATTAAAAACGTTGAAGATTTGAGGGTAGGGGAAGATTGTCAGTAGTTGCCATGCTTGGCAGGCGGATTGGCAACCGCAGTCAGGTTTTAGAGATGTTTTAATAGGGACGCTACTACCCATCCCTCAGGACAGGAAGGGGTGGCCTATTCTATGCCGGGACCACACGGCGAATTAAATCTCATTATAATATATAATAAGTATAAAATTATAAGATTATTTTGATATTTTTACACATTGGTAAACATCAGTAAGGCGAGGCGTCAGTTTGTATTTTACAAAACAAGCTACAGACAATGAACAGTCAATCTGAGAATTATGTTGTAAAAGAAAACTAATCCTAGCCGAGTTCGTACTGCAGTATGCTGGAAACGGTGATAAGCAACTTACTGGAAAGCTAATTACGGAGTTTCAAAAGTGCCTTATGACTTACAACTTCGTCTGTTTACTTCTAATATGTTTTACGAGTCATCTCTCGTACAGGGTTGTCAACAATATGTATTTAAATACACTTGTAATATATTTGTAGCCGTATAGGTCCTGGTATAGAATAGGTTACTCCTTCATTTCCCGTAAGTGTCGTAAGAGGCGACTAAGGGAGCTTATGGTAGAGGAACGAGCACAGCGTCTCTTAAAACATCACGAAAACCGAAACTGCGGTTGCCAACCTGCTTGTCAAGCGTGGCAACTAGTAGTAAAACCTTCCTTATGGTGGAGTTAATAACTCATACAAATAATATTACTACATAGTATAAAACAAAGTCGCTATCACTGTCTGTCCGTCTCTATGTATGCTTAAATCATTAAAACTACGCAACGGATTTTGAAGCGGTTTTTTTTAATAGATAAAGTGATTCAAGAGGAAGGTTTATATGTATAATATTGTAGAGAAACACTGATAAATTTAGAGGTTTCTAATGTGACGTGATATAATGTGTACCCGCGCGAAGCCGGGGCGGGCCGCTAGTTGGTATATACATATCAGTTTTTGCAACCCTTGATCATTATTATTATCCCAGTACTGGGCATATATTTCTTCTTATAAAAAAAAGTACATAAGCCTATTTTGTGTATTACGATTCTGGCTAGATGCTTGGTATAGGGTTTATTTAGATTATTTATCTCGCGCCAATGTGTTGTGCTTTCTTCCCTTTTAGTCACCTTTTAAGATATTCTGGGGATAAAAAGGGAGCGGTGATATTAATGTTTTCTTATTCTATTGCCACATACACGAATTTACATAATTTACATAAAATAAAGATTGTGTTCAACAAAAAAAAAAGATTTTAATTTTGGCAAAATTAGTTATTTTGATTTATAAACTGAACTACTAAATATATTTTGATAATTTTTTTATGAGACCGATCTGTAAGTATATCCTTTAAGATGAAACAAGAATTTTTCAAATCTTTATATAACTGAAGGAGTTACGAGGTAACAAACTTAAAAAGAAAATACAATCGAATTGAGAACCTCCTTTTTTTAAGTCGGTTAAAAACTACTCATTTCCATGAATAGCATTACTAAGTTTATGGGTGACGGTTACCATTTCCCATCAGCTTGTTTTTTATTTTAAATTACATAATTAAAGTTTTGGATTAATATCCTTTTTTGTGACACCCTGTATATTTGTAAACTAGAAATCCGTTTGTAACTTTTGTTGTGAGAAATATCCCGGGAGTCTTAAGTACTTTAATAACTTAGTCGTTTATGCTTAATCCGGATTTAGGATCTGATATTTCTGATTGTAATTCGCAAAAACAAAAGTTTGCTTAACCGACCTTAAAAAAACAGGTTCTACATTCTACTATATAATTTTTTACTAATTTATTATGTACCTATTCCTTCGTCAATTGTAGATCGATTTGAAAAGGCTTTTTTGTTATTCGAAAGAGTATATATAGTATGGGATATGGTGACATAAAAAATGTACATATGTATTCTTAGAAATCTGAAAACTCCACTCCTGATCCGAGGTTGGGCACCATGGGCACCAATTCTGGAGAGAGCACGGTCCGTCCAATTTTTTGGTACGCCTATGGACTGTAGATATTTGTTATAAACATGGGATTGACATGGGAGTAAACCTTAGTATGGGGAACATTGAAAATTACCTAGCCTAGTCTCATGCGTGTAAAATTACAATATTTTGTATATAAAGGTACGATGTTTCAGTGCAGATTTCAATGTTTATGTA